TCCTCCCCGCCCTCTCGCGCCTGACCGCGTCGCCCGTCCCCGCCGCCCGCCTCCGTCCCCGCCATGCGCGCCCGCGCCCGTGCATGTGCGCGCGCAAGCCGGACTCCAAGCGCCTGCCGTACTTCAACTCGGTGCGCCGCGATGCCGACGCCGCGCCGTACGAGGCCAACGGCAACGGCGTGGCGCCGCCCCCCGCCGCCGCCGAGGATGAATCGCCCGCCCGCTCGCTCCGCGTCACCGTCCTCGGACTGCGCTTCGACATCCCCGGACGCCTGCTCCTCCTCCTCGTCCCCTTCCTGTGGTCCTCGTACGGCATCTGCGTCAAGTGGCTGTACCGCCTCGACTGGGCCTTCTCGCCCCCGCTGTTCAACGCCATCCGCCTGCTGCTCTCCGCCTTGGTCGTTCTGCCGCAGGCCTTCCGGAAGCGCCCCGCCCCGACGGCCGCTGACTCCGCGCCCCCGCCGGACACTAAGGCCGTCCTCGCCGCCGGACTGGAGCTCGGCTTCTGGACTATCCTCGTCAACACGCTGCAGGGCGTCGGCTTGCAGCACACCTCCGCGTCGCGCGGCGCCTTCCTGGGCCAGCTGTCCACCGTCATCGTCCCCATCGCCGCCTTCCTCACCGGCATGGAGGCCCGTCTCGGCTGGAACATCTGCATCGCATCGCTCATGGCCCTCTTCGGTGTCGGTCTGCTCACGCTGGATGACGTCGCCAGCCCGTTCAACTGGAGCGGCGACGGCGTCATGCTCTCCACCGCCTTCCTCGCTGCGGGGTACGTCCTCCGCTCCAAAGTCCACGCGGAGAAGGCGAAGAACGGCCCGCTCGTCCCCTTCAAGGTTATCGCCCAGGCCTTCTTCGCCCTGCTCTACCTCGCCGTCTCTAGCGCCGGCGCGCTCAAGGGACTCACCGCGGCCTCGTTCACCACCTTCTTCGCAGGCGCCACCCCGACCATGATCGCGGTGAATGTCGGCATCATTGTCTGGGCGGGCCTGTTCATCTCGGCAGGGAGCACCGTGCTGCAAATCGCAGGACAGGCCCTAGTCAGTGCGTCCGAGGCCGTCATCATTTTCAGCCTCACCCCGCTGTGCGCAGCGCTCCTGGCCATCCCGCTCGGGGAGCGCTTCGGGCTAAAGGGCATCATCGGAGCTGGGCTCATTTTGGTTTCCACGCTGCTCGCCTCTAGGAGCCCGGACGCCCCGAAGAAGGTTAAGCAATGAGTTTTTGTGTTTTTTTTGTGTGATAGATAAATAGTGCGTACTAACTTGGTCTGGTGGTCCAAGCCTTTGTGTAAAGATATCCTGGGATGCTTTAGGTTGGAGTAACAAATGTTCGTCTCATGGTTCCGCTCGTCAGCCAAATCCATCGGAAGTAGAGCTGTGCGCAATTGATGCAGCGTTTACCGGACGGTTGTGAAGGACGTTCATGGTCTTTGGTAGGTGCAGCTTTCAATCAATCTGCAGTAGCCACCCTCAGGCGGCCCCCCATCTCCCGAGTGCTACGGACTTTTGAGGTCGTGGGCAGAAGATTCCATCGCAGAGTCCATTTTGGGCAACTTGTTTCCAAAAGCTGTCTCTGGCGACGTGGAGAAAATCTGCATCCCAAACAGCGACCGAGGCCCACCTTGTCTTTACACTGAAAACACCAGCCTGGCAAACTGGCCACCCCCCATCTCGTAAGATAGCGGTATGTACTGTAGGCGTGTGCCTTCATACTGTATGTGAGATATTTTTAGGGAAAATTTGCATTTTACTGTAGAGGGAGATTTTGTTCTGTAGTCCGAGATTTTATTTGAATTTTAGAGAAGCACACGCGGACGGCCCGGCGGAATCCGGGCCGGACGCGTGGACGCTTCTGGAAGGAATTTCGTAGAAATAAAAGAGAGAGGGTGACGGGCGCTGCGGGGAAAAAGGGGGGGAAGAACACTCGGCCGACCCTCACCACGAACGGCACGCTCCCCAAAACCGCCTCCCCCATTCCACCAACAACACTGTACCAAGGGTACTGTTGTACAATGTTACGCGTGGACGGCATGCGAACAGTCATACATATTATAGTTATTCTCATCTAATACTTCACACGTCGTAAAGAGCCGCAATTTGAATAAAGACGGCTTCACAGGGGTGATCACAATACAGTGCCTCCTACGATATAGTGCTATAGCGTGACATACCTCTAGCTATGGCACTATTGGGGGGATGGCACTATATAAAGGAGGCTCAAATACATATATTTGGGGACAAAGCACATTGCTAACACACAACAAAGCCTGCAAAACACAACATCCTTTGAGTACAGTACTGAACCATGCCGGATGATACACGTGTGAGCTTATGATAACCTGTGCCAGAGGGCGAGCCATAGCACTATATAGAGGGAAGCACTACTAAAGTAGGCACTATTGAGCGACCCCCCCTGTACCACACAGGCAGCAGAGGGAGCACATGCCACAGCAAGAACAAATTGTGAGATATAAAGCAACCATCAGACAAAGATGGTATCTTCATGTTTTATTCTATCATGCAAATCGCCTCTGCGTCTAGCTAACGATAGGGAAAAGGATTAATTCTGTTCGCTTAGGTCTTCATCCCGTTTCCATCGACTCAAGACTGCGAGGGAGCGTTGATTATCAGGCCCAATCAATGTGTCCTCTCATTCGCGCTCTAGAGCGCGGGCTCACCGTAGAGAAGGTCATCAAGGACGACAACATCCCCGCGTCCCCGATACCTAGCTCCAGCGTCCTGCACTGAAATCGTACCCAACTTCATGACAACCCTCCAGATGATGGGCTTTCCGTTGAGGTCGTACAGACCGGCAAAGCTGAGCCCTCTGTTCCTTGGCGGGACAAATACACGGATGAGCAGGCACCCGCTCTTCGTGTAGAAGTCCATCCAGGTCTGTCGTCGAAGGTCGACATCGACGAACACGGCGCCCATACCAGAAACTTTGGCCCTCTTGTTCAAGGTCGGGATTTTGAAGATCTGCGTGACACGGTTCTTCACGAGGGGCGTGAACAGCCTCTTCGGGCTGAATGTCTGGAACTGATTTGTGATTCTCTTGGGCAAGAGCGAGTCGAACCTATCGTCGACCGGCGGTGGGACAGGGTTGCTGACGCGGAACTCCCTCTTGGCGGCTTGGAACACGGCACCCCTGGTGACGGTCTTGTCGAAGAAGTTGAACGGCATGTCGAAGGGTACCGCCTCGGCGTCCCAGTTAATAGAGCGGAAGCCAGAGAACAGTGGCCCAGCCTCATTGCCATTGTCGATACCGCCCAAGGCATTTTGGAAGGTGGTGAAAGCACGGCGGAGGCCGTTAGCGTTGCGAGAGGTGGCCGTCAAGACAGCAAACTTGTAACCGCATTTGTTATAGGTCCGAGCTTCTGCAAGCGCAAAGAAGGCGAGGGCCAGGGCCAGAGCAGCGGTGAACTTCATGATGGAATGTTTAGTGCTGAGGCAGGTCGGGTTGGTGAAGTAGTGGAGATGGTGATGGGAAAGTAGCAGGGTCGGGCGGAAGGTTGGGCTTTTATAGACTGGGCGGAGAGATGAATTTTCTAGTTACAGGAAACTGACATAAATATGGGGGTATATGCTTCCCGATAGGGATTCGAGATAAGATTTGTCCAGGAGGGATGCCTGTGAGTAGATAGACGATGTAGAGAAATGATAAGGAATTTTGTAATCGTCAATAGACTGAAGCAGGTTGGGAATCAAGATCTTGCCCTTTCGCATGCGATGTCCTCTAAGAAAAAGGGGGATGGGAAATATGCGCATGTTTGCGCTGTTGAGAGATGAAGAGTCACAGATGATACTGTACATGATGAATAGAGCGGGAGCGAGAATGTACATCTGAAGAACGGTCCTCTACAGGCTGGATCGCAGTGCGACGTGTGGCCAATATTGTACAGATGGTGAGGAAAAAATATTGTTGACGGGTGGGTTTGAGGGTAAGCAATACGTCGAATGGAAGCAAAAATCGGGACCGGGACAAGAGTAAAGGTATGATGTGAGAGGGTTTTAGATAGACGTCGTCATCTCACTTTGATATATGCCGTAGGTGGCACGTCATCAACTGTGGACGAGGACCATGGCCTACAAACATACATACATCACCCACAGACTCAGATTTGTGCCCTCCTCCACAGAGACTACCTGAGGTCAATGAACACGTTGACAAATGATATAGCTGTAATGCGCGGCGACAACAATGCTCACCTGAGCCTGAGCTATGTACCTGGATTCTTGGGCGGTGCGCGAGGCACCTCCGAGGCTATAGACAGCCTGGCCTAGGGGCGAGAGGCCCCAGCAAAGAAGGATACTTAGTTCAGTAATGAGATTGAAACATTAAACGGAAGAGGTCAAGGGAGGACCATATTTTGTTATGGTAGCATCGCATGAGCAAAAGCGTTTTTCTCAACAATTAAAACATTTAGTGAGTCGACCGTGAATATGTCTTCCGGAACAGATCACGACTCAGTTACGAGGCTTCCGAAGCTTAACAGCGCGAAAGACTATCTACACTGGCGTCGCCGTTTGTATGCCTTTATTCGGCGCAACGACATTGAACTGCTAGGGTTTTCAGAAATTGCCGAGGATGCATCTACTGCCACGAGGAAGAAATGGCTCGAGGCCATGGTGAAGGCGAAGAGTGCGATTGTGTTAAGTCTTGGAACAGGACCTCTTGCTCAGCTTGCCGAACTCATCGATGACGATAACAAGACTGCAAAAGAACTTTGGGATTCTTTAGCAAAATTGCATACTACCTCCAATGCCCAACTCATCATCAATTTGCAACATGAACTGGAAAACCTTTCATTCAAGGATGGCGAGAGTTGGGAACGCCATCTCGAGAAGTTCAATGATATAATCGGGAAATTGGAGTCTTACGATAAAAGGGTTGATGACAAGGCCTCAAAGCTAATAAGAACTCTACCCGAGTCGTTCGAGCCCTTCGCAATGGTCACAAACTCTGTTGGTATGTCTTTTGACAAGCTTATTGTTGCAGTGGAAGGAGAAATCTCGAGGCGCAAGCGAAACTTGCCAAGAGGGACTTCTAATCCTACAGCTGCTTCGGCGGTCAATTCAGGAACGCAACTCATATCTTCACAAGGAGGTATTGGAAAGAAGAAAAAGGGTCCTTGCTATGTGTGCGGCAAGCTTGGGCATTACGCTTCTGACTGCTGGCACAAACAAGTCGGTTACCAACCCTTCTCGAAAAGGGGTTCATTCTTTCGAGGACAAGGACGCTATCGTACTCGAAGAGGTCGTGGAAATTTGCGTAACCGGGGAGGTTACGGAGACACAAGAGGGTACCGTAATTTCAATTTTAACCCTACTCCGCAAACACCATGGGCACAGGCTCAACACCAAACCACACCATCTGGTCCTCACAACGGTGTCGAAAATGCAGGTCGTGGCAACCAATTATCCACTCAATATGCGTCGAACAACTCAATATCTCCGCTACCGCCTCTTTCAAATCCATCTTACCGTGATCGTTCATTCGGTTTCATGGCTGGTATAAAATTTCGCAGCTCAGTAGCAGCCTGCAATGAGGAAAAGTCATCGGATGCCCTAATTGATTCAGGCGGTTCGCACCACTTTTTTCATTCAAGAGCTTCCTTCATAGTTTATGAAAAGGTCGCTGTTGAGGATGTGCTATCTGCGTCAGGAGTCTCCATTATCGTAGGAAAGGGGACTGTTTATATTCCTCTCAACGGAGGGATGTACATCGACGCATTCCACACTCCAAAATTCTCTGCCAACATTCTATCAGTCGGACAACTGTCTGACAACTTTAACGTCTTGTTTACTCGGGATCCACCTGCTGTTAACAACTACAGCACATGTGTTCTTACGACCCGCACCACAAACAGAACCATTTTCTACGTGAAGGCAAGTGAGGGACTATACAAGATGAGAATCCAAAATCAAAATACAGCCCCTCAAACCACCGCACCTCAAGGTGCGAGTTCAACGCTTCCTCTTTCACCTTGCACATTATGTCATGCAAAAATCGCATCTTCGTCCCGTGTTGACTATTCTCTTCCCAACTATGCGCTAGAATGGCATTCAAAATTGGGACATCCAAACTCTGCTCGATATCTCCAACTTTCTGAACAATTTCCAAGCGTCCCAACTTTTCCGCGAGGTACATTGGATCACATACTCTGTGTTCCGTGCTCGCTGGGAAAAGCAAAACGAGCAACGATTCTACCCAGTCT